CCCCCGCCCCTCCCCACTTCCCGCTGGCCCAGCCCCAGCTCAGTGCCCGTGGGTGCGGGGGCTACGTGGGCAAGGGGTGTGCGCATCCGTGTCAGCCCCAGTGGGATAGTCCCCACCCTCCGGCTGAGTCACTAGCCACCCGTCAGCACCCAGACGCATCGCCACAGCAAAGTTTCTTTACTGCTTAAAACAGTCCCACAGGCACCCGTGGCCCCGAGGTCACCGTAGGTCCCGCAGCAGGCAGGCTGGGGGTGTCAGGGCACCCCAGGGCAGCCGCCTTGCAGTGGCAGGTGGTTTGGGCACCCCATAAGTCCTTCCTGTCCACATGCGTGATCCTGGGCAGACGGCCACACTCATGTCCCCTCGCCGCCGTGGGGACACACCAGGACCCGCTGCCACTGCCACTGCCTCCGGCTGCCAGCACAGCCCATCCCAATGTCCATGGCCAGGTGCTGGCCATGCCTCACACGATGCTGTGCCTCACACCGGGCTCGTGGGGTGCCTGGAGGTGCAGAGGGGTCCCCGGTGGGTGCCGGCGGCAGCACACGCAGTGCAGGAAGTCAGCTACGTTGTGCCGGAAGAGCTGGCGGCAGGGGTGCAGATACTGGAAGAAGAGGAGCATGAAGTAGATGCCCAGGCAGTAGCCAAGGAGCAGCTGCACCACCAGCAGTGGGGTGCAGATGTTCTCGTAGACGTCTGTCTTAAAGAAGTACCAGAGGATGACAAGGGCCGTGTTTTCTGCCAGCCGGGCCACATAGTACACGGCCAGGCGGCCCCAGTTCTGCGACTTGTCAATGAGGTCCCGGTCGGCCAGCTTGAGCTGCACAGCCGACCAGCAGAACATGTTGATGCTGGCGTAGAGGAGGGTGAAGGCGCAGAGCACCACCACCGTGCCCACCCGGCTGAAGTTCTTCTCGATGTTGTCAGGCAGACGGGTGCCACTCCGCCAGAACTGCACCCAGGGCAGGAAGAAGACCACCAGGAGGTTGGCCAGGGCGATGGGGATGATCCAGTGCTTGAAGACGGTGCTGAAGAGCACGAGGACGGTGACACGTGTGGAGATCTCCAGGCTGCGCCACAGCACGATACAGAGGAAGGCCAGAGGCCGCAGCTGCACCTTGTAGTCATCGTACTTGACCTGGATGGCCAGGATATTGCAGACGAGCGCCCCGTAGGTGACCGACACCAGGCAGATGCCCATGAGGACGGCTGCAGAGGGAGAGGGCAGGGGAGTCAGGCAGTGCTGGGGCCTGGGCTGTGTGCCCGGCCTCTCTGCTGCCCAGGGTACAAGGCGTGGGGTGCCAACCCTGGGTGCAGGGCATGGGGTGCCAAGCACTGTGTGAGAACTCCTGGGACAGCTCGTGGCTGGTGGTGTCAGACCCCATGATGGGGTGGCTGTGGGGGGAGCTGCAGGCAGGAGGAGACTCTGCTCCCAGGTTTTCTCCCTGCACCAGTAAAACAGAAGCCTCTGCCAAACTGGGGGCCATTCCTGTGCTTGAACCAGGCGCCAAGCCCGCTGCCCTGTGCGGGAAATGCTGCTCAAGGTGGAGTGGGGCACGATCTGTGCTGCCAGCATCCCTCTGCCCTCACCAGGAGCTGCACCACGGTAGCCCACCATCCACCGGGGAGCATCTCGAGAGCCAACCTCGCCCAGGGGCTGCAAAGCCAACGTCATTTGTAGGCAACGCCAGCAGCTGCTTACATTCAGTGTGGCCAGGAAAACCACGACAGAGAAAAAGGAAGCACGCGATTGGTCCCAGTCGCGCCGTGCTGGTGGCTGTGAGCTGCGGGGCTGAGCGGAGACACCCGAGCTGTGAGGGAATCACCCAAACGTGTCAGCCGGGATTCACTTCCCACATCTGCTGCTGAAGGAGCACTGGGGCTCATCCTACCGCCACTGCTCCTACTCCCCAGACCCACCTCATGGGGAGCTGTGGATAAGGAGGGGCTTTCTGTGAGGAATCTCTCATTTTCCCCTTTCCACGTGCCTGGGAGGCACAGAGGGCAAGGCCTGGGCTCCCAGCACAGCAAGGGCAGCTCCTGCACCAGAGGAGCTACAAGAAGGAAGGTGCAAGAGCAATCCTGCATGCCTGGCTCGTCAGCATGCCGAAGCAGGATTTCAAAGCTCACTCCGGCACATCCAGCACATAAACACCCTGGCAGCAGGTGAGGAAGCCTGGGAGCGCAGGGCTGGGAGCTCCAGCTATTGGGAAAGGATCAGAAATAGGTCCAATGGAGGGACTGCAGGGAAGCCAGAGCTGGTAGCTAGCCAGAAAACCCCAGTAACTAACACAGACCGGGGCAGCCTGGCACAATGGCATGGCACCCCTATGGGACAGGGCACCAGGTGGGTGGCACGGCACCATAGGGCAGACATCTGCAAGCACCGGGGCTGGCAGCAGAGCCTGGAGCCTTGGTCATGGCCAGCTCTTTCCATCCTCCCCAGCCTCACTCCAAACTGGAAAGCAGAGCACTGGGCATGTGAAAAGCAAACCAGAGGACAGACGAGTGCCCAACCTCTGCAGGTTGTGCCCCACATTTAGGGAAGTCACCCTCAGCAAGCCCCTGGACCTTCATCTGGATGCCACACCAGCACATGCCCCGGTGGGTCCTGCCTGCACGGCCCCAGAGAAGCCCGGCACCCTTACCTCGGGCGGCGGGGACGTACTTCTCCAGGACGCTGATGTAGAGCTGGAGGGTGAGCTGTGGGGTGGAGCCCAGAAAGGCCTGGATGACTGCCATGCGCTTGAAGGCATTGCGGTGTGTGGCCAGACGGCGCACCGAGTGACCCACCTCCTGCTCCAGCTCTACCTCGTAGCCTTGACGCAGCCGCTTCTTGCGGGTGATGGTGACGTAGGGCTCCTCCTCCTTCCCCGACCAGCAGTACACGACCAGGGCCTCCATGCACCTGTGGGGACATGGCAGCCGTCAAACCCCGCTGTGTCATGGCCCTTCCCGGCAGTTCCAGTCCCCTCTCACCCAGTGCTGGCCAGAGCCTGCTCCGGCTGGGCCCAGCCCATCTGATTTGGGCAACTGTGCCACAGCTCAGCAGGCACCCCCTGGCCCTGGGATGTTAGGATGAGGGTAGGGTCGCACCAGGACCCTGGGGATGCCCAGTGACCACCCGTCTGTTCCAGCCCTCAGCGTGGAGTGTGTGGGGCAAGGGGACAAGAGGTGCAGCATCCAGGGTATAGATACTGCAGATCTGCTGGGAGCTAGAGCTACAGGAAGAGGTTAATTGCCCTTGGGCTCTGTTTTTCCCACTGGCACAAAACACATCTCTTCCTCTGAAACAAGACAAACTTTCTGATGTTGTCTTTGATCTCCTCCCTAGAGCAGAAAGCTTCTGCGCTTCCTTCTCCGTGGGGACATCAGGAAGGGGAGCACAGGGTGAAGCCGGGTGTGAGACGGGGAGATAAGACGGCGCTTCCGCAGCCCCTTCTGCGCGGGGCACCCTCACGTGTGGGCAGGGGAGGCGGGTTTCTCCCATGCTGCTCCCCACTTTTCTGCCAGCCCCTCCACACAGCCACAGTGAAGTGGGTGTCATGGGCCAGCGGCGATCAGGAGAGGAGGCCCATCCGACAGGCCTGGCTACACCCGGGGCTGAGCTGGCTCTGGGACCAACAGGATGTAATTCTTTCAGAGCAGTCATTAGGTCAGCAGAAGTTGCTCTGTTTCAGACCCAAATGGAATGAGGTTTCTTGACAAATTCTCTTGCCAGGTCAGGCCAGCGCTCATGGCACATTCCAAACTCTAACGGGAAAATGGCTTCATCCAGAAGGTCCAGCTTCAAGGGCAGTTACGGCTGGCTCCTGGTGCCCTGCCAGACCTTCTCAGCCGTCTGGGCTCCGTCTCCAGCCCAAGAGCCCACTGAAGCAG